CCAGGCTCCCTGGAGGCAGAGATGGTGAGTCATCTTACATGCTTTGGGTACATGACCAGCGTGGATCAGTCCTTGGAGAAGGACATCATACTTGGAAGGGTGGAGGGACAGTACAGGAGAGGAAGACCCAGGATGAGATGGATTGACTCAGTGACTGGAGAAATGGAATTAGGTCTGTTGGAGATGATGAGACTGGCTTCTCATCATGCTCATAAGGAAAGCATGCTTGGAAAAGTAGAAGTATGGCACCACAACAAGATAAAGGTAAACAACCTAATTGCAAAATGGGCACAGGATATAAACAGACACTTCACCAAATAAGACATTCAGATGGTGAACAAACCCATGAAGAAATGCTCAAAATCCCTAGCTCTAAGAGATGCAAATTCAAACAACTATGAGATAGCATCTTACCCCAGTAAGATCAGCAAAATTCAACAGAGCACCAAACAACACATGCTGGCGAGGTTGTGGAGAAACTGGAACCCTTATTTACTGCTGGTGGGAGTATAAAATGGTGCAACCACTATGGAAGGCTGTACGGTTCTTCCTCAAAAAGTTGCAAATAGAGATACCATTCGACCCAGCAATTCCACTACTGGGAATTTACCGTAAAGAAAGCATAACTGCCACCCAAGCAGATATATGCATACCCATGTTTATTGCGGCTTTGTTCACAATAGCAAAGAATTGGAAACAACCCAAGTGCCCATCAACAAACGAATGGATAGAGAAGCTCTGGTATATTCACACAATGGAATACTACGCTGCATTGAAAAACAGGGAACTTGTGCAATATTATACAAAATGGGTGACTCTGAAGGACATTATGTTGAGTGAAATATCTAAGTCACAAAAGGACAGATATTGCTTCGGGCCACTGTTGTAAAACGGGACTGTCATCAGGGTTGGGGGGGCAACTGAGAAAGATGGGGTAAATTATGTATACTTCATTGAAACAAGTGAGGGAGAGAACTGTTTAAAAGGGATATATGATTAGGTATTATTGTCATGATAGGAGTCCAGAATGAAGGCTGCAAAGTGGAGTGGACTTCAGGGGAGGAATTGTATAACAATAAAAGAATTTTTCTTTTATTTTTCAAAGAGAAGAGCAAACTGAAGAGGTGGGGGGGGGCAGCAAAAAAAGTGCAACAATTAATGAATGGAAATCCAAAGTCTCTGCAAACTTTCATTAACACTAATAACAATAAAAAAATTTTAAAAGTGGAAGGATGGTGAAAGAGAGAAAGATTCTCACCAGGTGACTGACACAGTGACTACAGAAAGGGGCTTGATTGAGTGTGTTTTGAGATTATGATGTTGGCACAGGATAGGACAGGGTTCAGATTTGTTGTCTTTCAATCACTTGCTATGCATCTGAAAACCGGACAATGAATAAGAATGACAGAAGAAATATCGATGCCTTTGAGTTGTGGTGTTGGAGGAGAGTGAATATTCTATGTACTTCCAAAAGAACAAACAGGTATGTCTTGGAAAAGGTGCAGCCAGAGTGCTCTTCAGAGGCAAGGATGACAAAGCTTTGTCTCTCATACTTGAACACATTGTTAGGAGAGGCTGTTCCTTGGAG